TCATACAGCACGGCGGGAAGCACCCAGGGAGGCTTGCCGGCCGCCGAAGCGCCTGCCCTGGCACAGGGCGGGCGCATCGGAGGGGGACACAACATGACCTGGGATCGATTGTCGCCGCTGGCCCACCGCATCTGCTGGCACGCGGAAGGCATCATCTGCACTCGGCGGCGAGCGAGGGGCGAAGTGGGAAGGAGGAGGCCTTCTCTGAAGGCGGCGGGGCTTCTCAGAAGCCCCGGGGCCTTCTGGGTAAGTTTCTGCGCCTTCGGGGAAGTCTTCGAAAACTTCTCAGAAGGCCCGACGCCTTCCGAGCCCTCTGAGAGGGCCCGCCCCTTCTCGCTTCCCCCCCGAGGCTCGCAGCCGACCACAAAGCACGCGGAAGGCATCCGCACGCCACCGGGCCTGGCCAGGGCCATCCTGGGAACCCGGAGCGGCGTGCACGCCCTCTTGGCCGCGGCGAGGGAGGCCTGCAGCACCACCCCGGGGCCCGCAGGGCGGCCCTGGCCCCAGGCGTGTGTGCGGGGGGGCCTTCTGCAGATCTGGTGCGCCCCCCTCGGCCACGCGCAGAGGGGGGTGGGGGCAGCGGGGGCGGGAGGAAGGCGTCTCTCAGAAGCACCCCTGCTTCTTGGCTGGCGCGGGCCTCGTCTTTGGGTGTAGGGCCGCCGCCTTCTAAGAAGCAGCCTCCTTCTAAGAAGCCTTCCCCCCTGGCCCCCGCCCCCCGGTGCGCGCCGCCATCTCTCACCTGGGCGACAAATCGAGAGGGGCCTTCCGCACGACGGCATGGCGACCTCACGCGGCCGCACACGCTGGCCCACGCGGGCCGCCACAGCGCGGCACACTGCGTGGAGAAGAGGGCGCTCACGCGGGAAGCTTGCGCGCGGATGCCCGCGCAGTCCACCCCGTTTTGTTCGTCGCCCGTCCGTGCTCGTCCTGGGGCGTCAGCGCAGGGCTCGGCTCCACGTGAGGGTGATCTTTGCCGAGGGTGACCCTTGGTGCGCTGCTGCCGGGGAGGGGGGGGAGGGGGGGGGCTCCAAGCAGCAGCTACCTCCAGGCGCAGTTGGGAGCGATGGATGGGGCACCCCCAGGCGACCCATTCGGCCCCGCACCCAAGGTCACCTCGGCGAGAGGGCACCCTCACGAGTCGCCGAAAGCCTTCGGGCGGAGCAGCAGCGCCTGCGACGCGCCCGCTGAAGGAAGCATGCACTTTCGGAGACCTCGGGCGGATTTCTTGGGCTGGCGCTGGGCAACGGGCGCGCCTCACGCGCCACAGGCGGGGGCCTGGGGAGGGGGGGAGGTCCAACGCCGATCAAAGAAGTCCGCGCGGACCTCTGGAAGGTTGTGTCCATGCCGTGTTCCTGTCTTCTGCGATTGCACCCCTTCCCCCTCTGCCCCCCTCTCCCAGGAGGACAGGGATGTGAAGCAGCAGCAGCTGCACGAGGGGGGAGGCAGCGTGAATGGGCTGAGCCCAAGCGTCAATGCTGCGAGACAACTAAAAGGCCGACTCAGCGCGCACACGCCACGCATCTTCTCTATCTGCCTCTTCGCTTCTGCATCTCTAGGCGTAGCAGTTCCACACGAAAATGGAGTGGTCAAAGCCGACCGAGACAAGCTGCTTCCCATCTGGACTGAAGGATAGCTTCTGGACAGCTCGGGAATGACCAGTGCCTCTTGACCTCTCTGCGCCTGCCTTGACATCCCAGACTTTGACGACCATGCCAGTACCAGCTGTTGCAAGAAGCCCGTCGTCAGGCGAAAGACTGACACTATATACTTCTTCATCCAGCTCGATCGTGCGCACGGGATCGGCTGTCCTCAAGTCCCAATAAGTCAACGTCTTCTCCTGTCCTGCCGTGATCACGGTGGTCTGATCGGACGCGACAGCTAAGCAGTTGATGCCACCATGCCTTTCTCGGTGAGCAGTCAGCCTCTTCTCAGTGCGCAAGTCCCATGTCAAGAGGCAACGATCGCGGCTCACCGAAATTGCGTACTGGTCGTTAGGGAAGAGCTTCAAGTCGTTCACTCGCCCAACATGCTCCTTCAGATGCGTGACCATTTCCTTACTCTTCATCTCCCACACGCGCAGCTCTCCCTCCGCACCACCAGAGACAACGAAGCGGACGTTGGAAGCGATCTTCACCGAGGTCACGCCGCCCTTGTGGGCATTGTCGACGTGCCACAGGTTCTGGCCCTGCTGGTAATCGAAAGCCATCAGCCTCCCATCGCTGCATCCAGCGATGAAGATGTCCTCAGAGCCTGCGACCGCCGTCGGGTAAGCGCGCGTCTTTGTCGGGCATCGCAGCTTGGCGCTGTAATCGTTGGCGTCCCAGAGCGTCACCAGGCCGTCCGCACCACACGTCAGGAAGTTGTCCGAGATGCCCATCGGGTAGGCGACATCATACATGGCCCCACAAGAAAACTGATTGTGCAGCTTAACCGACAGGTCCTTGCAACGGATCCGGAAGGCACTGCCGCTGGAGGACACTGCCATGACCTCGCCGCAGTCGGGGCTGAGGGACATCGAAGAGAGAGGGCCATCCAGGCGGATCTGCCTCTCCTCTCTCATGTCCATCGGCGTGGGCCCCGAAGTGATGGTGGCCGTCCCATCGCCTCCACCCACCACCAGGCGAGCCTGGTGGCCGGGAACGCAGACCACGCTGAGCACGCCGCCGGCGCAGACGGGCACGAAGCCCTGGAGCGTCCGATTCTTCATCAGAACGATGGCCACATCACCTTTGACAGAAAGGGGGAATCAGAGCCAAACCGAGCAGGGGGGTGAGGGAGCACACTTGATTGGGGGGGTTCCCGAGGGGGACATGCCTCAAGGATCCCCAGCGATCCTGTCACGTTTGGTATGGTTCGGTCGGGGGTCCCCGGCCCCCTGAGCCTGTGGTGGTCCCAGCGGCCAGATACTCCTGATCCGTCAGGAACGTCATGCACGTGAAATCGCGTGTCGCCTTGCCCGCACCGCTCACAAGGTGGGGCACCAGCTCGCCCTTCGCGGTGTCGAGGTGCCACATCGCGATGCTTTTCCCCCCACAGGCCGCTGCCAAGTACTCGTGAGTCTCTCGCCTCTTGATGTCCCTGACAAAGCCACCGCTAACCATGCTCAGCGTGGGCTTGGGGCAGAGCTGGCTGTGTGCGATGATCAGGCCGCTGGAGGTGTCGTATACGAGGACGCGCTGGTCGACAATGTCGCCACAACTGAAAAGCAGCCTGTCATCGTGAGAGAAGCACAGTGCGTCGATGCCGTGGTCTTGCTCCTGGAAACACGACATCTGTTGCTTGATCTTAAGATCCCACAGGATGACGTCTGCGTTCTGGCCCTGTTGACCTGTCGCGCAGAGGCGCCCATCGTGAGATATAGCCATGCAGGTGATGAAGTCGTCATGGCCCTGTAGAAATGCTTGCTCGTGTGGGTCGTTCAAGTCGCCAACAACGACTACTCCACCCAGGGGCTTCACGTAATCCTTACCATTAGGGTGGAGATGACAGACGTTCTTGAACTCCACGTTGCATCCGATCGCATGCTCCAACTCAATTGACATGGCAAAGTCCCCGCATCCCCAAACTTGGACCGAAGATTGCCTCCTTGAGCCGAATGGCTCTGGCCTGGTGAACGTGCAGCGTCGCGGGTGGGGGGTAAGAGCTCCTGTATAGCGACCCCAGGCCACTGGGTACAAGCGATGCCGAAGAAGTAAGAAGAAACATGAAATACGAAGTCGACTAAAATAGATGGGGCTTCCGAACGCCTCCGAAAAGGGAAGGGCACAGAGGAAGCTACTCTGTCGATAGTTGAGGTAGGCAGGCGCCCAAAGTAAATCGGGAGCCTGACGTCCAGGAATACATGCTCGCGGGCAGAACTTCTCGACGTCGGCGGTGTTCGCCCAGACGCAAGCGGGGAACAGACGGGTTTGGGACCCCTCTGGGGCCCCAAGGTCTGGTCGAAATCGGCGCGTTCCCCCGAGGCGCTGGCCGCAGCAGCTCAACGAATGGCCTGCAATCGGAGTGCCGTGTGTCGCGTCGGGCGCCGCGCGCGTGCAGCGGCCAGACGTCCTCGGCAGGCCCTCGGCGGTCGTCGACTGGCCGCCACCAGAGGTCTTCGGCGGCCCTCGGCGTGCGATGGCGCGCGGGAGCGATGGCGCTCGGGGGCTGGCAGAGCCCCCCGTGCCCTCCTGCTCCTGCTGCTGCCCGCGGGCGACGCCGGGCGGGGCGTCGCGGGCGTCGGGGGCTGTCGGCGCGCGGAGGCACCGCGGCGCCGCGGAGTCGCGGTGTCCATCGCGCTGTGGTGCCGCTCGCGGTGGCGTCGCGCCGTGGCGCCGTGGCGCGTACAGTGGTGCCGCGGTGCAGAACGCACGTGGACCACTTCGGCGTCAACCACCTAGGGGTGCTTTCTGGTGCTCTGTGTCATCGGGAAGGTTCTGCCCTCCGCGGCCGCGCCCCGCCTCGGGCCCTCACTCCTGCCGCCGGACATCTAGTGCCCGCCACAGCCCGGCTCACCAGAGCGCGCGTGCGGATCGCCTCTACCGGGAGGATAGATTCCGCGGGTGTTCGCCGGCGGGGTGTTCGCCCGGTGCTCCCCCGTGGGCGCCCCGTGGGCGCCTCGTGCTGGGAGGGTTCCCCGAGTTTTCGCCCGGTGCCTCGTGCCCGTGGGCGCCTCGTGCCCGTCTGGGGGCGTCTTGTGGGCGTCTCGTGCACGTCTGGTGCCCGTGCGTGGGCGCCCTGCTGGGCGCCTCGTGCTGCCCACCACATGGCTTTCACTGCGCTGACTGCACCACACAGCTTGCACCACATGGCTTCCACCTCCTCCTCCTCCTCCTCCTCCTCCTCCTCCTCCTCCTCCGTTCCTCCTCCTCCTCCTCCTCCTCCTCCTCCTCCTCCTCCTCCTCCTCCTCCTCCTCCTCCTCCACATAGCCTGGACCACACGTTACACTACACAACTTGCACCATGGAGCTTCAGCCGCAATAGCTTGCACACTACCCACTTCATTCGCACCACGTAGCGTACATACAGTAGCTTACACGACTTACCTTGCACCTCATGGCTTACATCACATGGCTTACACAACACAGTTTACATCACAGACCTTGCACTAAATACACTGAACTCAAGTCTTACACTTACACCGCATAGATTACACCACATGTATTGCACCATGTAGCGTACACCACGTATGTTGGAAAAAAGATACGCTGCACATCGAGAGTGCAAGAGACTGTTGTTCTGGATCCACGCTGGCAAATATGATTCAGTGTAGGGGATAAGTTGCGAATACACTATGAATCCGCTGGGATGTAAGAGTGGCTCCAGCGCACATCAACTGTGGAGAGTTCGCCCCCTGCCGTGTGCTTCCTGACGCTCGCCCCCTCCTCCAGATTGGAATAAGAAGCCACGAACACTACCCAGCAAAGCCCCAAGACGGCGCCAACACCCGTCCAGCCAGTTCCAAGACTGCCCTAGACGCCTGAAGAGAGCCCCATAGAGAGTCAGCAGCCGCCAACATGACAGCACGAGACTCAAGGAGCTCTCCAGGAGGGCCCAGGGAAGCCTCAGAGAGCCCCGACAAGCCTCCAGGACTCCCAGTAGAGAGTCCCAGCGCCTGAAGACTTCCCTGGCGGCTTAAGACCGCCCAGAGGCGGCTCCAATAGGCGGCCCCAAGACCCGCCCAGCCGGCCTCAAGATGGTCCGACCGAGGCTCTTCTGCGGGCCCCAATAATATAGACCACCACCACCTCCTTTCCCCCTCCCTCGTCCACCCTCATCTTCCTCTCCCCTTTCCTGGGAGAGGGAGGGGATGAGGGAGGCGGTGGTTGTGCATACCTTTGGGCCGCGCATCTTCGGGACAGCTCGGTGCAACCATCGCGCCGAGGTTGCAGCGTGAATCAGGACAAGATGCATCAGTTGCGGACCAATTGCGGCTGGAGTGTGGGTGATCAAACTTGTTTGAGCTGAGGCAAGGGTTAGAGAATGCATGGACGTGTAGACTGGATGATTGAGGGTCCGTTTAGAAGGACAAGCGTATGGAGACTGATAAAGGAATGACGCGCTGGCCATCGGAGGAGACCTTTCTCACACAGCGGAAGGGCCTGAACCACGGCAGCAAAGCCAACACGACAGCACCAAAACAACCACATCGTCCTACAAGACGGTTCACGAAGGAAACGATGTTGTGGATAACGTTATGCCAGCGATCTGGCAACATCTTCGTAAGCAAGCGCTGAGCCAGCATAGCGAATACGACCCCACGAGTGCGCACTGACTTTCCCAGGTCACGTTCCTAGGGAAATCTGCCGAACAAATGCTGCGCCAGGTATGCAAGTGGAGGTGTCTTAGTGATGGGCGCGACCGCATCTCCAATTCAGTCAGGCAGCCTCCTAGATCCAGAGGTGAGAAGGAAGAGGACGGGAGGAAGAATTGGGGAGTCCTGCAAGTGTTGGCTGGGGACCTTCTTCAGAGTTCGAGCCTCTCGGGGAGATCTGAAAAAACTTCTGGAGGTCGAGACGAGAGGCAAGACCAAGCCACAAGCGCCCCTTGGCTGAATTTGGAATGCTCCCCCACATCCGACGCCACGACTTCCTCGTGACGCGGGCCCCCAGGTCTCTCGACCCCATCCTCCCGACCAGCTGTTCATCCCAGAACACTTTTGCCTGTCCAGGGGCCCCAGAGGCCAAGAACGTGGAAGGCTGGCCCTCGGCTGTCTTTTGCCGCGGCGCTGGAGGTCTGGGCATCAGACATCAGAGTCGACGCCCAGATCTGTGCAAGCGCGCGCTCTGGTCAACGACTTCTCTGGAGCCCCACAGAAGCCTTTGCCCTCGAACCTCGACCCCCGATCCGCGCTCAAAAATGCTTGCCCCGACCGACCCCCCCCCGGGATCCGCCCCCTTGCTGCTCTCTGTCGCCCCAGACCGATGCATCTGAGGACTCCCCCCCCCCCCCCCCCCGAAAAAAACGAGCTCTGCACGGAGGCCGAGATCGAAGAGCACGACCCATGGCGCGATGTGCCGACCCCGCTCCCGGCCCCCGCCCGCGCGGCTGGAAAGCCGAAGGCCAGGACGAGGATGAAGTCGGGCGAGGATGCAGCGAGAGTCTCTGAGACCCGGCGGCCAGAAGGCCAGGACGAGGACGGAATCGGGTGAGGACACATCGAAAATCTCTGAGACCCAGCGGCTCTGGAGGGTGTCTCGGGCGCCGCGGCCTTCTCAAAGCGTTCCAGAATGCTCAGCGTTCCGGAACGCTCTGGAACGGAATCCTCATCCTAGCCCCATCCGAAAACCTCCCCGCCCACCCTGGAAGAAACTGGAGCCGGAAAGGCCAGCCACACCTGGAGAGCACAACTACCCTGAGACCCGACGCCGCCAAAAAGAAATACAACCTTGTGAAAAAGCACGACCGGAGCCCTTCCTGCGGCATGTCTCGACCTGTGGGGGCCCTGGGGCCCGCCAATCTGGACGAAAACGCCCGTGGTGAAAAAATAAAGAAAAAAATGCGATGCCAGGGTCTCCGGG